TTATGATATAAATTGTGTACTCGTGGACATGGAGAGACACGGGGGTTACATGGGGGAGGGGTTACATGGGGGAGGGGTTACATGGGGGATACACATTGGATGATAGATATGAATGGTACCCAAAGAGAGGTTGTATGATATACAAGATAGAACACGACTCGGGAGATAGATAGTAGAGAAATAACTCGAAGTTTATAAAAACTTAGAAAGGCAGCAGTAGTAATAATCACACTCCACCATACTAATATCTTTCCTCTTACGAGTAGATTGAAAGTAGTATTGGGTAATCTAAAGGATATCGGTATCCCTCCAGTTTTGTCAGAAATGGATATACAGTAGTTCTAGTAGCATTATTATTAAAAAGTAATTTTGATATTTGACTTCAAGTTAGTTCCAGATTCAAGTTTCGAGATATAATTTTTGCCAGTGGTTAGACTTACATTTCGGTTTCTTATACTCGTACTACTAATTCTTTACTAAGAGACTAAGAGTAGATATTGATCTACTACTAGAAGTACTATGTATCATATAACTTGACTATCCGAGTCACTATATTGCTATATTAGATATTATTTTTGGCTTTTTAAACTACGATATAAACTACTCGAGTAATTGTTATTGTATATGTAAAGATAGATAGATATCATCTCAATACCAAATACTGAATACTTGCATAATAAAGTACTAGCTCACTAAATACCACACAGATATCAAAACTCGATTCGTCACCTAAATTCATTCATCTCTATTATCAATTATCTCTCCTACTTTCTTGAACACTAACATCCCATCCCACTACATCTCTTCTCTATCAAAATAGGCAACTAATACTATACTCGAGTACTTCCGAATCTCATTGTTCTATTATAAATATATCATCCCTATCTCTATCTCTACCACCCCCATACCCTCTAATACCCCATACATCATCCATCCATACATCCACTAGCACTAGCACCAGTATACTCACACCAGTAATCTCTATTCAAACATGCAATTAGTAAGACTTACAATAAAAGAATCTTATATACCGGTATCATTTTCATTTTCATTTCAATTTTCCCTTCCCTCCCATTCCCTTCCCTTCCATTCCCCATTGATACAATACCCCTAAAGTTCAAACCCCAGTTTAACCACGAGTAACTACCCAGCACAACTCCCAAACTCAACTCCCACTCCCACTCCCACTCCCCTCCTAACAAAAAGTAAGATCTTACCTTACTGTACATTTTAATTTACAATCCATACATTATACATCAAATTCTCAAATACCAATGCTACACTTGAACTCCCAACTCCAATTCCAAATCTCAAACCTCAAACCTCAAACCTCAAATCTCAAATCTCAAATCAATATCAGTATCTGTCACATATCTTACAACACCACTATTACAGTAAGGCTACAGTATCTCGCTAGATGTATAATAAGATAACCCCAATCTGCTTCATATCCCCATACCATACCATATCCCCCATCTCATATCCTCCACCTCATATCCTCCACCTAATATCTTCCAACCATCCAACCCCCTCCCCCCTTCCCCGCTAAACCGCACATTCACCAAACAATACCAATACCAATATCAACAGTAATTTCACATAATCGAGTACATACATAATACACATAAAAGAAAAATCGAATATTCAACATCAACATTATGAAACTCCTCCCGAGTCACGCTCAATTCAATTCAATGTATTATGAATATGAATATGAATATGAATATCAATATAAATATAAATATAGATATGATTAAGTATAAAGCTCCCTCCTATATCAAGCCTAATACCTAACGCCTAACCCAACGCCTAATCTAACGCCTAATCCAATCCAATCCAACGCCAAACCCGAGCCTGTGCCAAACCCAAATCAAACCCAATGCCAAAGAACATAATCCTTTGATAGAATGATTAATCGAATCAAATACGGAATCCTTCAATGGAGATGAAGGTATGTATGGTATGCATGCTATCCAAACGAATATTAACCAATCCAACCATATCATATCAGGTAAATTGCCATCACGCTCGCATCATATCATATCATCTCATACCAAACCACCTCCGCTCATCAACCCACCTCATCATCCCCATCCAACCCCTTCCCCCACCACCTAAGCAACACAACTCCTCGCCACACTCCCCACACTCCCACCCCACCTAAACCTCCTCAACCCACCCCCTCCACCCCCTCTCACCACCTCCCCCATAACCTCCCTCCCACACCCTCCATCCCCCACAGACCCATTCCAACCATTCCAACCCCCCATCCCCAGCGCATCCACTTCTTGTCTCCCCACTTCCCTCCCTATCACATATCCTGCGCCGAATCCCACTACTGATACTAGTACTACTACGCCTGCGCTCATTACCCATGTTAGGAGGGTTTGCGAGAGGTATGTTTCGTCTTGTGTTTGTGGTTGGATTTTTACTAGATTTTCTTTTTTGGTTTTCTTTGGGGAGGTTTTTGTAGTGTTTTTGGTCTGGTTTAGGTTTGGATTGGCTTTGGGTTTTGTCGTTGTTGCGTTTTCGTTTTCGTTTTCGTTTTCGTTAGGGTACTCGGATTCAGAATTGGGTGATTTACATCTACCTCTTGAGGGCTTAGGCGACAGGGATAACGGTCTTGAGATATTAGCTGCAGGGCGTTCTGGAGCGCCAATACCAAAAAGTTCGGATTCAGGAACGATGCGCAGACCGATTGGGGCATTACTAGTGGGATTTTGGGCGCCAGGGGATTTAGGGAGACCTCTTGCTGCGGCGGCGCAGGAGAGGAGAGTGGTGAGGCTAGCGCGGAGAGCGGCATCGTGATCGATGGGTATGGGGGGTCGAGAGTGGGTGTTGAAGGAGGGGTTGCGTGACGAGGGGTGTGTGCGTGTGGGATAGGATTGGGGGCGCGGTTGCGAGTGGATTTGCCGGGGGAAATAGGAGTCTGGTGCTGGAGCTGGAGCTGGGGAGCGATAGCTTTGGGAACGGGAATGGGAAGAAGGGGGGTGGGAAAAGGCGTTGGGTTGGGGGGTGAATGGTAAGGTTGTTCCCTTGCCTATTCCTATTCCTATTCCTAAGGCGGTACCGTTTTCATCTTCGTCGTCTTCGGATTCTGCATCGTATATTTCTTGGGTTTGGGTAGATATGCGGGCTGGGGTTGCGGCTGGTGGGGATATTTCATTAGAGCTCGTTATTATATCTATGTGATCTGGTTCTGATTCTGATTCTTCGTATTCTTCTTGACTGCTTGTACTTCTGTGTCTGTTGATATTTGAAGGATTTTGTGGGCGTGGCTGGTTTTGAGAGCGTCTGCGTCGTCGTGCTGAGGGGTGTTGGGATACGCGGAGACCTGTTGTTACGATTTCGTTGTCGATGGAGGATATTGAGGATGAGGATGGTTGTGAGGATATTTCTACCCATGATTCTGCTGTTGTGCACGATGCGATTAGATTTGAGATTAGATTAGATGGATATGTGGAGGGGTATATATGTATGGGGAAATGGGGAAGGAAGTTATGATTAATAAAAGAAAGTTAAAATACCTTCATTGCGCAATCGATCCGATAAATCATTTGATCTCGCCATATTATTTCTATTTGATTGATTTCGAGATGTATTCGAGTATCGTGAATGTTGATGAAAAAGTTGTGATGTTGACATGTTAGGGAATGAGAGAGAGATTGATTAAGGTTGACGTGATATGTAGGTATACAAGTACTGTAATATTATATGGCGGGCGGGGTCAGGGTTTAAGAGATTTTGATAGGCACGAGAAACGGATGCGGTCAGATGTTCGATATGTTTCAAGACGAATCAAGACGATTTGGTTGAGGAATGATATTTATTATTCAACTTTTTTGGGAAAATCGTCAGATATATCGTAACATCTTTCGTTTCGATAGTAATAGGGGTTGTGGGTTGTGGAGATGGAGACCGCTCTTTGGAATGGTTGGAGAATGAGACTTGGAGACTGGAGACTTGGAGATTAGAAATTGGAAGCTAGAACCGAGGATATGAGTGGTTGCTTTGTTGTCTTTGTTATCTTTGTTCTTGAGATATGGGAAATATGAAGTGTGAAGTGTGAGTTTGGACTTGGAAAGCTGGGCTTCCAAAGTAGCAGTGCTATGGATGTGATAGATGTATGAGAGTGGGTTTAAGTTGTATTGTATCCCTTTCCAAGCATATCCGGGTGCATATGCGAGAGATTAGATGTATCCGAGTACTTGTAAGAGAGTGGATTTGGTGAATAGTTGATGGTTGATGGATAATGTCTTTATTGAAGATATATTCCTAGTATGTGATACAGATATACAAGAGTAGAACATGTGAAATATGTAAGAGCAACAAACGGGGTATATGTATACAATATCGGTGAATACAGAACCCTTCCCTCGGTCAGATGTTACCTACCTAGCTTTCCTCCAACAGTCAGTCATTATTTGTGAGACATTGTATCATAAGCTTATCGTAATCGTGAGTAGAGGCGTAGTAGACGATAGAAGTTTGGCATTTTAAAGTAGACATTCACGGATCTCACGCAGTACTATTATAATTATGTGATAAGAGGTACAGGTACATTGTAATGTTTTCAATCAAGACGATACGGAAGAGATCCTTATTCAAAAATATATCGTCGACGTTGATATTGAAGGTTTAGATGTACCTCGGTGCACTCGTATACTCGTATATCTGGTTAGGAGTTCCTTAGATATTAAAGCGGCGGTTGGGGAATGGCGAAGTAGTGCTATGCACGTGCCATCCTTGATAGGAAAGCGGGCAATTGCGATAAGAAACATCCATCGCTTCCCCTTCATTCATCAACATCATCTAATTCCCTTCCTCTTCCTCTTTCTATTCCTCTCCAAGTCACATAATCCTATCACATCGCCTTCAGAGTTCAAACTATCTGCATGAATAAGGAGAGCATAGGCACCCTTTTCAATAGTGAATATAACAGTACCATACAATCAAGAAAATCCTTCAAATCATTATTCAACAAACCCCTATCTACACATCCAATATCTTGACTTCCCCATCAACTAATTCCATGCTCCACCCGTCACTCGTACACCGTACAACCTCGCACCAAAAGATCATCCGTCGGGAGAACTACCGAACCTTCCATTCAGGGTCATTTAGGGTCCGTCCACCGGAATCACAGAGTCATGATCCGGTGTTCACTGCGTGCTAGGTATTCACGAACATCGTGACACACCATTTACTAAGTTGTGTTTGGATTGAGTTACGACTTGTTATGAGTACGAAAGTATGTAAGTACATGTGATCATATGTTTGGGTTGTCACATATTATGTGCAAAATAGCCCTTTCTCATTAATTATTTTTAGTTTGGAGGACAAGTAGATACTTGGTCTCTTGTGTACATTATCTGTGAGATGCAGAATCTGAATTCGTTAGTGCAAGTGCAAACCCTTTCGCGGATTGACCATTCTTTTTTACATTCATCGAAAAGGGAGGGAATGCGGGGAGATGATCACTGTTGATGCGAAAGTTCGCAGAGTGTTTGAATATTTCACAATACGTCTATCAAAGGCCTGCATTTCTTACCTAGTTACGTACTATACATAGTAGATCTACACGAATCAATGAATGAAGAATAAAGGGTAATATTGATACAGATACAGATACAAACGCAGAAAGATATAATACATTAATATTAATGATAAAATAGTATACAGATATAATACAATCCAAGTAAACTCAGAAACAATCGAACAATATATGATGCCAGGATTAAGACCACAGCCATGACAGAGAACCATAGGACTACGAGAGCCCAGTCTTGGCTTGGGTTCTGGCACGAATCTCGATGCCAAACGCTAGGCGTTTGTGGTGAGGTTCGTCTTCTTGTAATGAGCGAACCGGTTTGCTCTTCTGGGAGCAGCGAATCCTCTCGCACGTTCCGATCTTCGAGGCACACGACCATTTGATTGAATGAGTTCCGATTGGGAACCATGAGCTGATTATGGTCGTGGTCGTGGCCATCGAAGATCGGGCGTGAAGGAAGACTGACTGCCCCCAGCGCCAGTTCCGCCGTTATCGACTGTTTACTGGCCGCTTGATAGTTTACTGACTTTTCGGTCGTCCGTCTATCGCGCGGTCGGTTCTTGGGAGATTCTCGCCGGTGGCTATTGGGCTACCGTGCCACGCCGAATCGGCTCTCCTCTTGTTAAGGTCTCCATGCCTCGAGGTTCATGGTCCACTCTTCTGCCCGATTGCATTTTAATATACGACCACCGTTGGCTATTACTCTGCAGAGTATGCAGTGAGTTGCACAAGTTGTGCCTTGGGCGATCAACTCGTAGTTTTCTGACTTCACGGTCCAGGTTCTCCAGCATTCTTAATTCCTAAAGGAAAGAAAGCTAAACAGCCAGAGAAGCCACAAACCGTTCAAACATTTGTGGTTGCCGTTACCTTGACCGAGAGATGGGGCGTGAAGAAGATTGCCGACTACCACCTCTCGTGCTTCGGCGTGCTTTTTCAACGCCAACAGTTGACATGTTCCTCTTCACGAGGCGTCGCTTCTTCCTTCCATTATGTGTGGAATGCTTATCGTCAGAATCACTTAGCTGAACGTTGCTGATATCGACAAAGTTGTTGTTCAAAGAAAGTCTCTCGGTCCTCATCAGCTTCGGTAGATGAACGATCTCTTCGCTTTGCTGAAGAGCGAGAAACGGCTTTGGAAGCTACCTTCGCCATTGACTAAGCTGGTCTTTGTACTTACTTCCCATGACTAGGAAGAAGCTATGCGTCTTGAATTCGAAGTTGGGAATTGTAGCTTCAGATGAAGTTCCGGATGATTCGTCTGCATCGCGCGAACTATGTAGTTTTAAGACTTTTCGGTCTGGTGTGGGTTTTAAGGAAGTGGTTCTTGTCTCCGTCCTCATATTCAATTTACAATGTTTCCCCATCAGAATCAGTTGACTCTTCCAGTATGCATCGAATCATGGTATCATCCTTTTGGTATGTGGCACGTCTTCAGGGTTCTCTGGTCCTGGATTGAAGACGAGCTAAGCGTCGGTGCTTTTGAATGGAAGTTCTCCGTTTATTGCTCGATTGAAGTACCGGTACTAGCTTAACGAGAGAAATCGGATTTCGAGGTGTCGAAGTTGATTTTCCACGCATTTCTGTCTTCGATGTTCTTGTCTTCTGGTATTGAGGAGCAGGGATTTTCTTGCTGGAGCCAGCCAGGTGTTCCCAGGTGAGTTTTGGTAAGAACTACCGGTAATGAAGTGTAACCACGGTTTCTGGTTGGAGGCCTTATAAAGAAAGAGGAGAGTGAGCATGAGAAGATATTTGAGGTTGGAGGATAACATTATCTGGGAATTCCGTTCGATGGTTAATTGACTTTGCGGTCCGACATAGGAAGAAAGAGGAAGAGATTGAAGGGTTGCGACAATCATTTGGTATTCCTCGAGTAGAATCATCACGCCACTATTTCCTTGGTTTGTTGAATTGCATTGCATTGCATTGCATTGCATTGCATTGTTTTGTAGAAGTTGCATTCTCCGAGGATGGCATTGAAGTGTGTCTTAGGATAGTTGTGTTTCTGAGCTTTAATTGGCTCTCGCTCGAATCAAATATTGAGTTCGCTTGTTGAGATAGATTTGGCTGATCTGCTGGTGGGTGCTGATGCATGTTGCGTGTTGCTGATATGGTGAATAGCTGCGGCAAGGGTGACGGAGCAGCAAGACTGCCAGTCCAGTCAGCAAGTCAGATACAACTTTTGTGCTGGATCGGGTTGGGCATGTCATATATAGCTGGCCACATCCAGAACTGATATTGGAGATCGTCTGCAGTCACTCCAGCAGAACACTCACTTTTTGCGGGTCAACATCGCATCTGTCAAACGTCGAAATGCTGCACTTGACGATTTGTCTCTGTCAGAGACGAACGTGGAGAAGACGATAGTAGCCCCAGGAAGACTTCTGCTTTTTTTTCAACAGCCTGGTACCCTGATATCGTTTTCTCCGGGAACTGGGCCTAACAAGTGAAAGCTTGTATAGCCTCCTGAGCTCCACATTCACCGCGTTGATGTTTATCTTTATTATCCGGACATATGGGTCTTGGATCGGTATTCATCAGTGTAAGACGTGTTTTTGAGGTAGCTCATTCGATCTAGGAGATTGGAGCTTCAGCCTGAGTTTCAAAGCTTCATAGTTAACTTTCCGTAGAGCTCGATATTTCAGCACGCACTCGACATCCATTGAAAATCCGCTGAAGCGACAGCTTTAACTCATGGATTCATGGTGGGTCCTACTCATAACTGCTGTAGCAGTCTTTTCGCAGCGGCATGGGTGGTATTTTGTAAGATGACCTCTCTTGATTGAAAATTCTCTTGACAAGTTCTTGCTTCTAGTGAAGGAGGTTAGGTAATTGTGTGAAAAGGAATGTTGTGGTGACGACTTACAATGTATTTGGAAGTTCGAAAGACATGTGTTTTCCGATTCAGAGGCAGGTAAGCGGGCAGTTAGGAAATTAAGTCTTTGAGTTGGTAGTCGTGTTTATCGTCAATTTTTGTGTGGTGGATTGTTTTGGGGTGGTGGCGTGACTGAGATATAGTTACTTCACTGCATAGTTACATGGAAGTAAAAGTTCAGATCTGAGAATTATGGCAAGCGATAGTTAGTTTGGAGTTTGGACAGATAAGGTGTAGAAAGACTTACAGTGGTCATTCTGGTCAAGTCAAGAATAGTGTGATACGAAGTTCTGGAAGAAGTTGACTCTAATAGGGTCGTTAGAGATGCCTACTCGATGGAAATGCTTCAAGTTTTCAAGATATGTTGAATAAGACGAGACCGAGCTGGGGTTACATGCTTTCCACTGTCCTTGCTACATGTTCTTCTTTTCTTGTTCGAGATTTCCAAGGTTCCTTGCGAAAGACTGCGAGTGATGGGAGAAAAAGTCGATCTCTTGGAGTTCAATCAGAAGTGACCAGCTGTAGAATCCGCAGTCGGAAGTACAGACAAGCTATCGACGATTAATTCAGAACTGCGAATATCTAGGAAGGAGCGGTAGAAACATACCTCAGAACCCAAACAAAACTTTTTGATTCACAACTCAAGCTCATATATCACCCCATCACAACATACGCGAGAAGCTCTTGGAAACCCTATAGCCTCTGATCATAAATTGACGGAACTGATGGAGTGAGACGCCTCCGACTATCAGTATTGAGTGATTATTAGAGTAAAACGCCGTTTCAACTAAAATCTGTTAGCAAGCTCTGAGAACGAAGTCTGTGTACTTGACAATTCGGACTTACCTGGCACCGCATCACAGCTTCACAGCTTCACAGAATCGAGGTAATGGATGCACGCCGAAGCGGCTAGAGGAAACGATATTTATTGCTATCGGAACTAAAATACAAAACACCAAATGCAATAATACTCAACCCTTTGACATTCCCGCATACATGACTGTCAATATTTTCGAGAGACCTTGCAGCATCTGCACTTTCTGACACATGCTCTTGAACATGAAAAGCGAGTTTTCGCTAAGAATAAATAAAAAGGCAATACCGCTCAGTAATATCCAGCATATAGGAAGCACCATTGGGTGTAGCTCTAAATTTGTCACGGCAAGGTCTGCAGTGCAATATTTGGATTATAACCTCGACCAACACCTATACCATTTGCATCCTTGTCTAGAACCATCCCGTCATCTAGTGTTAGAAATCGGAACTGGGATATCTATGAGCAGCTTTGTGGATTGTCTCTCTCTCTATTGCCTGTTGCTTGTGGTTGTTCTCGTCGTGGTGAGGAGAATAAAGATCGTCGGAAGAGGAGGACTAATAAATAGATAAACGTATTAGCAGTTTGAGCGGTTGAAAGGTAAAGTCAGATGTTAGTGTTTTGGTTTGAAATCCTGGGGAGTCTAAATGCTGCAAGGCATTATTGACGTACCATTTGACGGGTGGAAGAAGAAAGAAGTGCAAGATAGGAAGAGGAATTGATATTGTTTTGTGGTGGAAGGAGTTGCGTGAAGGAGACAACCGTACCAAATCTTACTTCAACAGTTCCACCTTTGGTCGAAAGAGCTTTTATGAAAGAAAAATTTGAATGACGATCTTTGGTCCGAGTTCAAACAAAGTGTACTTGAGAACCGTGATCCTTTCTTCTCAGCTCTACGATATTCTTTGCGTTCGTATTTACTCGATATTCTGCTTGACCACTTCAGAGTTCTTGCCCACCAATGTGTTCTTCGAGCCGAGTTTCAGCGTCCCCATTAGTTTAAGCGTTCGAGCAACAGATGCATTGATAGCATTTGGGTCAGCAGGACTGACAACTGATTGCATGGGCTTGCTGTGGCTTGCTCATGAAAATCGCTTCAGACTCGCACACTTGGCTTCTTCGTAAATGTTCACTGTTGAGAATCGTGGTAGAGTGTATACCGACATTGTTGGCGTTTTGGTTCTTGTAAACTTTTAGACTAAGATGTTTGGTTAGTATCAGTTTTGTCATATCAGTGAGGAATATCGTTGGACGAGGACTTACCTTTTCTTGTTAGATAACAAGTTTTTCTATTGTAAAATGTAATCTAGCATTATTCATTACGATTGGAACCAAATAGAGGTATGCATCGTTCGCGAAGCGATGAACTTGTGAGTTCATGTCACGATGTCACGGACTAAGAGATCAGCAATCACAGGCACCAAAAGGATGTATAGAAACACGATTCTTGATTGAACGATTTCAATTAGTACATGACGAGAATCTAGTTAGCTAGCTGTCGCATCGATATTCTTGTAAAAGATGGCTTGATGCTATACTGCCGTTTTGACTGAAACTCAGTTGTGGACGCAAACACCTGCAGTATGGTAAGTATATGCGTTTTTCTGGCAGATCAATAAACTTTTAACTTACTCTACTCAAAATCAATCTCTGTATCTGAGAACTCTTCTTCATCTGCAGCTGCAAACTCCTAGGATCCATTGCAATGGCTCGTAGTGATATCATTATCTTATAAATGGCAATACGGACCATTGGACGCCGGGAGAGGAGCAGCACAAATATCTGCAAAGAGATAAATTAGCATTTTCACCATAGAAAGAAGACTTGAAATTACACTCACTTTCTATAACAAGGATAAATCGAGAGTCTTGACAGCGCCACACTGGTTTTTTCAAGCTTGTTGTAGTTAGCACCAATGAAGATAAGACACCTCTTCGCGATCTTTTCGAGAGTTACTTACAGATGAGTCTGTACGAGAATATGTTGGCCGATCTCTTGAACTTGAGATGTATTTTCGAGTCCGTCCTTTCCAGTCAGCATCGATACTGCTGGGAAAGCGCAGCACCAGAATAATGGAAAATTCCGGGCCACTGGCCCCTTGTAAAGAGTCAGAGCAATTTCAATTAGAGAGAGCAGAGTGTGAAGTTATACATACAGAGACCTTGACCGGCAATCAGCCAGTCCAACTCAGTATGATCTGGCAGAGCAGTTCGCCCTGTGGAGCGAATATATATCTATTGATCTTGTTAGATGGAAGGAAGGAATGAGTACTAAGCATATCCAATATTGAATTGCAGCTAAGCAGCAATAGAAAAAGTGTATGATTTTGAGTTGGATAATACAAGCTGGATACAGTAAAAGATTCAACAATGAGGATGGATTGTTTGAATCAAAATTGGAAATCAAGTCTGTGAAGCAGAGGGATTAACTTACCAGAAACCAAAGAGATATTTCCTCAAAGAACTGTTAATAGCACATTGTGAGGTTGATCACTATATCAAATAAAATTGTCTGATCTTGAAATCAACAAATACAAAAAAGAGGAAGAAAAGGTCGAAGCTGATAGAAAGAAACAGTATCAATAACAAAGCAGAATTTTCATGTTTATTAGAAATTAGAGCATTGGATCTTTAGGGTATCGGATATTTCCGGCTTGTAAAGTCTCACTCTTGAGTCTTGAAAGCCTAAGGCCAAGGAAAGAACTGATTATAGGAATCTGCACTCAGGATAGCTATCAGACGATATATTCATTTCCAATGAAATCTAGGGGGCCGAGACATTTCGTCACACATGCCCCTCAAAACCCGGAAACCGGAAATTGAGGTTTTGAAAACAAGTATTGATTGGTGAAAGGTATAACAAATTAGCGAGATATCGAAATTAGATTGAGCAAATGATGTGATTAGCAAGAGACTGTTTTCCTGGAGCTTTGTAGATTGTATTGTTCCCTTGAACCTAAATTCCCTCCTCAACACTCAACACTGCAACTTTCTTTTCTTGGGAACTTTAACCAGTTCCTGGGAAGGAAGAGGTTGAGAAAGGAGATAGTTGTATTTCTTGTGGAAATTTTAGCAAGTTTCCAAAGAAACATATCTTCCTCACCTCTTCCTCCCAACCAAAATCAATAAGCAAAAAGGTACATCATGCTCCCCCCAGACTTTCTCACCCCATGTCTTCCAATATTTAACTCTCTTACTTGTCGAAATATATCATAAGAACTAACATCAACCCATATCAGATTACCAGTTGGCTCTTCCTCACCATCCCGTTAACCATTCTGTCACAGCGCACAAGCTTTTCAAAAGATTCTCACCATCACCACCATGATTCATGGAAGTGATCTGGTAGGACTAAGCTTGAATTGGTGCATCAAATCAGAAGCACCAATTCAGGCTTGTCCTACCAGACTGCTTCCATCATCATGGCGGTGGTGTGTGGTGGCTGCGATCAATAATACGGGTAAGCTTTCTTCCATTTCTATGGGCTTTGAGTGTGGAGTAATACTAATCTTTTCCAAAGAGCAGCATGACTCCATTGCAGTCTACCAGAAGCACACTCCCATTCTCTTTCCATGGACTCTAGACTCTGTGAGTATGGCTTGGAGTTTGACATGACACCACAAAATCGACATCATGTCGTTGGTCTCCTGTCCCTTTGATCAAAAGTCTTGTCATCCGAAACAAAGAGAAATGGAAGAATCAAATCAGACATCTCGAACGTCAACTGAATGAAAATTACTTTCAGCGGTTCCTCATGAACCATCCTAGATGTGCTGGTATCAGAACACTCACTGTTCTACCGTCTCATTCAACAAACAACTCTTCTACATACAAGGTCCTATTATCTGTCGTGGAAATCAATCGACACTTGACCTGGTTCTTTGTGTTGACACCTTCACCGGCATTAATGCAAAGAACCAGGACGTTGCTACTTGCTAGATTCCCTCTCAAATCTATTCACAGCCATCATCATCATCATCATCATCATCATCATCATCATCATCGAAACCCTATCTCGATCAAAAGCGCAGGGCTCAAAAGCATACTCGCTTTAAGATTTCCACCTGGTGATATGGAGGTATGTTACTTTCATCACACTCTTCAATAAACCTGCTAACACGCAATCATAGCCAAGAAGATTTATACCATCGTGCTTTCCGTCCACCTGCAGCTCTGATTCCAGACAGTCCTAGGCATGACAGTAAAAGACCAGATAGTATCTTCGTTCCCATGCTTCGGTAAATTTCGGGAATGATACTATTGTCTTTGACACGAACCCATCTGCCGTGTACTATGCACACGGCCCTGTTCGCTCTCTTTCAATTTTCGAAAGAATATCGGCATCTAGTTACACAATGGTGCTGCGGACCTACCGTTTATTATGCACATGATTCCCTCCTTCTTCTCAACTCCTCAGAATCTCGAACGTCACTTGATCGTTTCGTTTAGTGCATGCGGCATGGTACACTTTATCCACTGCATCATCAAGCAGAACCCTCTATTTTTTTCCTCTACCAACGCGATCGAGAATGCAGCTCCAAATACTGCACCCGGACACTACAATGCACTACACATATCAACCTTCTGACGAAAACAAATCCGTAACCGAGTAACAGGCTACTGGCAGATGATGTTGAGCAACCATACATCTCGAACGTCAACTTCAAAGTTAGTTCGCTGCATTTGCTACTTAAAACGGAGGAGATCGATCCCTCCCCTTGATAAGTAATCTAAAGTATCCTTCCCCTATCCTGTCTTATTCTCTCATTTTTCTTCTTGTAGATATCGACACCAAAGTGCCAATTATCTCAAGAAGAAAAATGAGAGGAAAGGAACAAGGAGATGGGGACAATAGATTTCTTGTCAAGAGGATGGGCGGCAGTCCTAGGCATGACAGTAAACTGCTGTGGGTTGGTAGGATATTTATGGTACCCCATTTCTGTCCTGTCTTTCTTCTTGGAGACACTTGATACTTTGTACTGGACTTTAGTGTCGATATCTACAAGGGGAAAGATGAGCGAAGACATAACAGGAGAGGGGTGCTATAGATATCTTACCAAGGGGAAGTGGGTGTGTGGGTGGAGGGGGTAAGGCCACCGGTAGTATAGATTTATGCTTAGGGTAATAAAACTACATCCATCTGTATTGATGTTGCATTTTGGTGATCAACCGTGCTACAAACGGTCTTAGTTCAAGCATTGCTCACTCCACGTTGTTAGGAAGCAATGGCAAATTCTCACTCACAACATATACAGACATAAAGTATGAATATAACACTGCAAGCCCTGGCTATAGTTATTAGCAACATTATTTACTCTACCTGCTTGCTAATCATCCCAATTAATCATCTATAAATCTAGTAGAACCCTATACATATCTTCCAAAACGATGTGAGTCTCAATACTCCAATGTTTCTGTGAGAACGACTATTGACTTCAGTGTTCAGACTTCAAAAAGAACTAGACCGGGGCCCTGCTTCAACTTCAAAGGTGGCTGTTGCTGTATGTAAGGTTATACGGCACTTATTATCGATTCAGTTATGATGTATTAACGATCACTGGAAGCTTATCGAGTATCATAATCTACAGTTTTGCTCGGAGACTCACACGGACTTTATTTATGGATACTAATCAAAACGACAAATCTACTAGTCCGATATCTTGTTATATTCTTTATATATATATGATTATAATTTAAATTTATATATAGTTTTTTATATTACTTTATATATTTTTTAAAAAAAGTCAAAAGATAATTAGATATAAATATTAAGATCTAATAAAGGTTTAAGATAAAAAAGGCGATTTTGAATAATTTGAAAATTCAAATTTATAAAAAGTTATATAAAACCTTAGATTTTTTAATTTAATAAAATCAAATTATTATATTTGTTTTTATTCATTTTTATATTTTTTTATATCTTTTCAATTCTTTTTTTTTAACGTTTTTTTAGAATAATAATATCTCAATATTTATAATATTAATTATTATAAATATTATAATAGATTACAAACTTGTTATTCTTTATTATCAATATCTGAAAAAAAGCAAATCATATTATTAGATAATATCTTTATTCTTTAAATTCGTTTTAATATAAAAACTAATACTCGAGCGAGTCTTTAAAGAAGGATATACAAAAATAAAAATAATTATAATTAATTTAATTTCTATATAATTCTTTATAATATAAAGTAATAATTAATTCATTAATCTTCAATCT